CTTTCTGAACTATGATCGATCTAGCTGCTTTGTAATTAATAATTTATTGAAAATAAGTGAAAATACTAGTCTTATTCTACGTCAACGTATGCTCTAAGGTATAATCATTGACAACAGAGGAATAATATGTAATTTGCATTGAAATAAATTCAATAATATTTATATTTGTTAAATTCTATTTGAAATCCTCACTGCGAGTCTGAGACGATATTGTAGCGTAGGAGATTAAACGTTTTATGAAAAAGATCATTCCATATTTCTGTCTTATTTCTTTATAAGGAATCACCCTTTACCTCTTTGACGCTTTACGTTCCTCACCACGTAAGGAAATTTCGTTTTTGGGCGACTTCGAAATTCGTCAATCGGGTGGATTTCGTGCAAACGCCTTTTGTCCTTCTATCGAGTTGCGTATCCATGATCGGTGACCTGCCTTCTTCGAACCCCCTACCCGACAAAGGAGGATCGCCACTGAGAGGTAGGGGGTGGCACGATTATGGAGGCGACTGGGGGTCCGTGCTGCTCGGATGAAGCGACGCAACGTAAATCCGTCTTGTTCGACGGAGAAATGCACAGGAAGCCGTGAACGAGCGGGCTGAGAGCGGCATTTGTGACGGGCGAGCGCATTCCCAACGTCGAAACGACATGCGGGATCCGAAGCGTGCAGCCAATACGGCGACACCGTGTTTAGCGTTGAACGATTCAACACACTGGCCCGGGAACGGGCACCGTTCTGCCCTCAACGGAACAGAAACGTGCGGCGTCGTGACGTCAATGCACGCTCCTCTACAGGCCTTGTTATCGCATTACACCCCCGCAGGTGGGTAATTTCGTTCTGACCGGACAGTGTTCTCGCTTCCTTCCTTACGGAGCGGTTGCTGATACGATAATGCTACATATTGTCGCATTTGTCACTGGAACGTGAGGAATCTGACACTGAGATCTGGCAGGCTTGCGAGCTGTTAACACTTAAACTACTGAATTGACTTTTTTATTGTTTTACTTACGGGAAAAATTAGGTTAACACTGAAACCATAGAGGAATTAGAGTGACTTATTTCTAATTTTTTTGGCAAACATTAGAACACGTTTCGTGAGATTCGAAGATTCTTCTAGTCTCATGCTCGCAAAAATACAGGAATTTAATTTGAAGTCTCGCGCAAAAACGCGTGCATAATTTAAATACTTGAGAATAAACATTCTGAAGTGGGTCAATTTGACCCGTCCGGTAGTTTTAGTGTTAATACATTCAAGACTGCTGACCGTCTTCATTTTAAAGAACAAACGATTAAATTAAAGATTAATATTCCAAACTAAATAGTCTCATTTTTATCCTTGTTTTAACGTTAGAAATTTGCGATAATTAACTTAAGATTTTCATTTTGACCAGTAATGAGTAAAATATCGCGAATATGTTAAAATAAACAACCGGACGTAGATTGTAGTAAAACGATCAAATGATAAGATAATCCATACCTCTTAATCGAGTGACTGATTTATTTCATGAAATAGGGTCCGGACTATTTTTGGGGTGGACACAGTGCTATTCTAGCGGTTTGTTTGCTTAATTAAAAATTTTAATTACGCTGTGAGATGTATTGTCTCGTTGGTAATTTGATAGTTAATTATTAAAACTTGGAATTTCTTGTGGTATGTGTTTATTACACTTATCATTAAAATTGTGTATGTTAAATTGTTCATCTTAGACAATTTACTGTTTGTAGTATTTCATGTTCTTTATGAGACATTTATATTTCCTAATATATCATTGATTTTATAATCGATTTTGTCGTGCTAGAAGGCGATCTCTCCAAATTTGTAATAGGAGATTCGGTTCGAGCGCCTGGTGCGACACGAGACTGTTTTCTTTAAGAAGTGCTTAAAGCACGTGGCCCGATGATCGGACCATAAATTAAGTGTCCCATTGCTGGCTGCACTCAATCACAGCTGAACCATCGCGTAGAATAGTTCTTGTATTTTAAACCGTGTCTCAATAAACGTACATTTTATTTTCCTATAGCAATTTTACCGTTTCTGCCTACTGCACCCCTGATACAAACCTCAAAATTACTACAGATTCACATAATTTTTAGTTATTATTTTCAAAGAGGTGAATGTGTATGAAAGTTCTAAATTAAATTCTTGTGCTTGGTAAAAAGTTATATGTAGTATATTATTAGAGAACACAACCCCCTTAATTTCTCAATACGAAGTATATTTCTAATAATTTACTTCAAATCTATACCTCAAAAACATGAAAGAATACGTATAAATGTATTAAGTGCTTTTGTTAGAATTTTCAGATTGTTTCATACTAACCCCGATTAATAAGCATATAATGATAAAATTGTATTTTTAAATTCATTCATTACAGTACTTTGAAATAAAAGTAGTTACTTTTATAATTTTCATAATTATTATTGTTATAATTGGAAGTTATAAATATCTATTCAAATTAATAAATAATTTATAGAATATAAATTTTATTTCTTAATATTTATTTACGTATATTAACTATTAGCTTAAATTTCGTTAAAATTTCATAAAAAATAAATATACATTCATTATTTATCTACTCAATAAAATATAAGAGAAATGACTATTTTCATTTGACTTTCACGGAATTCTAATAGCGTTAATAAACATCAAATACGCCGTTAAGTAAACAACACACAATTGTGCTCTGCATACCTAATAATCCTGAAGGACATTGCACGCTCCTAATCCGTAGATCCAAATGACTGCCGTATCGTGCACGCGATTGCTTGTCTACAATAATGTCGGTTAATCCGGTTAGGTCGTTATTTATCCGGCTATCTCTGTTATTACACGTAAAATGCAAGACAGACGGATTATCGGGCTGGTCCGCGTTACGTTCGGATTCCAATAATCAAATAAAACGTCAGGTAATCGGACAATCGAAGATAACGCGAGGCGGATTGAACAACGTCGATATCAAAACATTAATTTTTTAATATTCTCCCGGCCCATTGCAAACACTAAACACCGTTACCTGTGCTTCTACACTAATGATTGTTTCCGCTGATATGAGTTGAAATTATTAACGCTCGTTAGAAGCACAAGAACCGGAAATATCGAAATGGGTATCTGTTTCGAGTTCGGATTGAATTTTCGGAAATTTTCAGATTTCCCAAAAGAGTAATGTTTCCTGAAAATACTCAGGTTCTTTGAAAGACTCAGGTTTCACGAAACTGCTTGTTTTTTCCAAAATAGTAATGTTTCATGAAAATTATTAAGATATATTTACTTAATGTAAACGTTTATGTGTTAACTGATGATTATAACACGTTGACCGCCGCGGTAGTCATTGATGACCGCACTCTCTAAATTGCTTAACCCCTTGCCTTACAATTTCGTATCTAGATTTCTAGATTTAGAAATCTAGATTATAGAATATAGAAATTAGATTTTTAATGTAGTTTAACAAATATAAATGTCATTCAGTTCTTTTGAGTTCAAATGTAACATTATCTTTTTCGTTAGCAATTTATATGGTTTAAAGTATATTTATACATAGAAAGAACATGGAATTTTTTGTTTTGCTAATGTATCATTAACGATAAATAGTTCCAACAAGTGCAACTGCGAAATTAAGTCGCAGGGCAAGAGATGAAAACGATTATAAACAGAAAAATGATATTCGATTGAAGTATCTAGTAGCATAAGTAACGAAATAATCGTGCTGCATAAGAATTATGATGCTAAACTGTTAAGTATTAATTCTAACACCACTTGCCTTTGTAATGAAGGAAAAAGAGATATTATACAATACACAAAAAATTCTGGTGGCGGTCGACGTATTAACATTTCTTTCCTTTAGTTTGTCCTAAGTTATACGTCTGTAATAACAACTGATATGCAGCTGTTTTGTTTTGCTCGTTGTAACATATGTTTGCGTGTACGCATTTTTATATTAAACTCTTTGCTTCTCAACAATATGCATATGCATTTATAATTAGAACTATATATAAGAAGTTTATACAATTTTTATTTCAAAGTACTATATGAAGTAGTGAACAATAATGTGCACTGGTATCTATGCTTTGTACCTACGTATTACCAAAAACATTTAAAATTTTATAAGTTCTATTATTTTTCAGATCATTCAAAGTATATATGTATAGAAAATATCATACTAAAAATATCTGTTTTATTCTATAAATTAGAAAACCCTCCAAGTTTCTTAAATGAAATACATTTGTATTTATAATGTAGTGGTGTTTCTTAACACCATATTCAGATGCCGACATTACAATTAATTGCATCTGTAACTGTGACAACAACAATCAAGGTTATATACAACATCAATAAATATATTTACAATTATTTTAAAAAACCATTAATACATGTTAAAATTCATGGGGAAACAAGATAATAAAAGAATATTTACGAGACGATTCTGCAAGTATCAACTCCCATTCAATAATCGAACAAACAGTAACCACCAACAAGGCTGACGTTCATTTGAAAGAAAGGTAAGAAAGGTACATACGAGCAATGGCGCGCCAACCCGAGGGTGCAAGGGGTGCACCGCACCCGAGTGGTAAAAGACAAATATCTAGTATTTATTTTATACACCCAATATCTCACCTAAATGATGCAATGCAGTATAATGATTAACTCTTTCGCTACAATAGAAGAGATATCTCATTACCATGGTAGCATCGTGCGTAAGACATCACTGATGACGAGATATCTCGTTCATGGCGTCAGTTCTTCGACATCGTGGAACCGAGACATTTCGTCCATTGTAGCGAAAGGGTTAATAGTGCGAAGAGTGAGACGGTGTACGACCTTGCGGCGAAGCGATATTGAAAGGTCATAATGATGTTTTTCAATTTTTTAAGGGGAGGCCAATAAAAGTTTGCACACAGGCGGTAAATACCTTTGGCGCGCTCCTGCATACAAGAACCCAAAACCACCAAACAATCGTCGTAAAAATTGCTCGAGCAGACAGAAGGTGAACCACACTGAGGACTTTACCGGCAAACAGATCGAATCTGGTCCTGCTCCTCTCGCTGTCCTCGAAGCCTTCAAGGTCGTCCTCGTAATCATCGTAATCCTCACCGTGGTCCCGTCTCTCTTTCTCGCTGGCGTTCCTCGGCAATGCATTACTCGGCGTCCTTTGAGTGGCTTGTCTCACTCTGGCCTGGTTGTTGCTACTGAAGAGGACCGCCGGGGGCGGCGGTGTCGACAGCTGCGAACCCTGAAGACGCCTCTGAAGGTATCTGGCCAGGATTGCCTGAACCGCGTCTGTCTCGGCGCCGCCTGGAAGACAGAAATCACGTTTTGCTCTC